ATTCAGTAATCCAGTGAAATATCTCATCTACGCTGGATTTGTACAATTATCGGTGCAGCTATTCATGATTCCCAGTGGATGAATCCTAATGACTCTAGTAATCCCCGGACTTTTCCTCTAATGCCACCATGAGGTTGAAATGTTTGGTTTATAGTGAGATTTCACAACAACTATTGGATGGATTGCCATTGCAATTTGGTACATTCAAGTTCCCCTCAGGATGAATCGTAATAAGTTTGGTCTCTTAATTTTTTATCAGTGTTAATCTGTCAAATACTTTACCCCAATACTCTTTGCAGCTAATACGATTGATAAACAACTTAAGTTAAATGTTTTCAAATTGTCTAAATCGTCAATCATGGCTCATACAAGAAGAGGCTGCAAGTGGTTTCATTTGGTAATTTTATGTGTTTCTAGATTTATAGCTGTCATAAATTGCTGTTGAAATACCCCAAGTGACTGCTGGTTAAACTGTTGTTATAAAAGGCATGGTTTGACATTTTGGGAAATGGGCCTAGGCTTATATATAGTCTGATGAGAAGATATATATTCATCAATATTCTCATATGCATCATATTTCAATATGAAACTGGAACCAGCAGCCAGTTAGCTTAGCTTAGCATGAGGCAACCAGAAACCTCGTGGTGACAAGACTTCTGGATATCACTGTAAAAGTCCAAGAAATAGTCCTGCATATAACACCTTATAAAACCACTTGTTGGTCCACAGTTTTTGACATTAAACAAACAAGATATAACTTTTAATTTGTGAACTTTATAGATACCGGTCGGCAGATTTCTATCCACAGACAGAACCAGCCTAGCTGTTTCTTCCTGTTTCCAGTCTTTAAGCTAAGCCAAGCTTAGCGCCCTCTGGCTCCAGCTACATAAATAATGGACAGACATAAGAGTGGTATCAAACCTTTCATCTCTTTCCCAAAATGTCAAGCTATTCCTTTAACACGTTGTTTTTACTTCATGCTATTGAAAGTGATATTAGAGAGGGAAGATTTAAGCAGAATATGGTAACAACATGGGTACGAGTGTCTACTGAGATTAATATAAAACCACTGCATCTGCTTTCATTTGGGCTTTGTTTTCACTGAAGCCCCTGTGTGGTATTGTTTAGAGCATTGTGGGGCCCCTTGAACATCTTACAGCATTCCTCAGTTGGTACAATGCATGTACGCGTGGGCCGCTGCTTTGGGCCTCGACAGAATGAGTCAGTCAAGAGCAGTGAATTAGCAAAATGCTCTCAGACACTAAAAATAGTTTCTCTCTGAACTCGTTTCAGCGTATGGGACTCATTTGATGTGCGTGTGTGTAATGTCTCCAGAACGTGACAACACATGATCAGTCCTTGAAAACTCTACAAACTGTGTAGTGGGTGTTTGGAGTGTGCATGCGAGTGGACTTTATGTGTTTGGTGTAAGTGTACATGCACGTACGCCTGTGTGTGTGGTGTTTCATACTGGTTTATAGAGCCACATGAAAGTTTCATTGCCACTGGATGAGATTGTCTGTTTTTTTCCCAGTACAAACAACATCAAAACATGTTGGAGTAACCTCCACTATTGTGGTATTTCACTGTTCTTGGTCCAGACTTCACCTCTTTGACCAGTGGATGTGAAATGTTGACGTGTGCATACAATGCTGTCAGTTAGCTGATAGCTAAATGCATCGAAACTGAATGGAAAAACAGTTGCGATACATCATACTACTTGTGCTTTTCTGCTGCCAAGCCAAGCTTGTCAAAGTCCAAAGGTTCAGAGCTGCAGTTTGGAGAAAGCTCAAAGGAAATAATGATAGCTTAGGGCTGGATGTAATGAAGTAGAAGGCTATTATGTGAAAAGGAGGAAAGGGGGAGAATCAAACAGTCCACAGTTGTGGTGGAGTTTTGTGTAAAACTCAATTTTTAGAGTACCTGCACTCCTTCACTCCACCTAAAGGAAGGGTAGCGTCCTTCAAGAGTCCGGTTTCCAGCTGATGATACTACCACATGGAGCACCAGACTTCTACCTGCCTTCCCCTCCCCACTGTAGGTAACCCAAACATGTGATGCAAACAACATCTGAGCTCGACTTCAAAACAACTCCGTCTGCACTCATTTAGCTCGGTTTCTCAGCATTTAAGAATTCCCATGCGGTTTGAAGCCTCTCTCCTAATGAAGCACAATTAAAATGAAAAGAAGGTAATGAAAAATATTTACCCGCAGTCCAATGAAGTGGCTGGTGAAGTTGACGAGTCCTCTTAATAAAAGCCATATGCTTGTTCTCGTAAAATTCTGTATTTGTGGCACAAATTTTTGAGGCGTTAGCGTTGGTGCCAGTGAGTGAATTAACTCCTGGCAGTGGGTAGGAGAGTAGTAACAGGCAGTTTATCAGAAGCACAAGATGTCTGCACTCACACTGATTTATGCTGCAACCCTCACCATGCCACATCTCCAGCAGTGATAGCCAGCCACTGGACAGGGTTAACATAGAAGTTAATCAAGCTTCCGATTGATTACAGTGGTGTTTATGGTGGACTGCTTTTTCTAAAACATCAAATAATCCATATTCTGTTGGAATTTGTTTTCTGCAAAGTACCATAAAGAACTCATTTTGTAAACATACACGAAATGGCTCTGATGGGAACTGAACCGCTGACCTTGGCACCATTAGAGGCATGCATTATTCACCAAGCCACACGAAAATCTTCTCATCTTTGGGAAATTGACCGAGCAGAGTGACTGAAAATGCAAATAAGTGCATGAAAAGTGAGAGAAATATATTTCTCCACCACAAAGTGATGACATGAAGGAAATAGGGCTTAAAAAGCAGTTTGACAGTGAAGTGATGGAGTGGAAGCTAGTGCCAGAAACTAGGGTCAAATCTCTAAATCATACATAGTTTTCTTATAGATTTACGTTTGTGTTGATCTAACTTAACCTTGACAAAAAAAATCATACCCCCTTTCTTACCAAAGTCAGACACTTTAAACAGTCGGGTGGAAAAGGTCATGCAAGTCACAGAAATTCACGGAGGAGACACAATCCACATGGGAGAATCCATTCTCATTTTTAAAAAGCCAAAAGTAAGTCTTTTTTTGTTGTGTGCATCAGCATTTTTCCTCCAAAATGAGAAGAATTGCTGAAAATGCAAATATGTGCATTTCATGTGAAAGAAAGTGCATTTTGTAGTAGTTTTGGTCCAGCCTGAAATATATCTAACTGTTGGATGGATTGCCATGAAATTTTGGACAGACATTCAAGGTCCCCAGCAGATGAACCTTAATGACTTTGGTGACCCACAGACTGTTCATTGAGAGCCACAATCAGGTCAACACTTTATTTTATTCTATGTACTTGGTATGACAACATTTCTGCAAGACTAATGACATTCCCATTAGCTGTACTTTGCCGAGTTGATTAGGAAATGTTAACTTGCTAATATGCTAAACTAAAATGGCAAACATGGTGGACATTACCTAAACATCAGCATGTTAGCATTGTAATTGTGAGCATGTTAGCATGCAGATATTAGTTTATTGATTTAGTTTTAAGTTTACCTTATTTGACAGAAATCTTCCACTACTTCTTAGGGTAACATTTTGGTAAAGTTTTAGTTGCCTTAACTGTCATCGGTGATGGTGGCTTAAAACTCTCAAAAATGTGACATTTCATGAAACTTTGTTGAGGATAGCCTAAGTTTTACCAGTAAGAGAGACATTTGTTGTTCCTCCCTCTGAGATCTAAGATGTTTCTTCATGAAGAACATAATCTTGATTGGTGTTTACAATGTCACTGTCCCATCAGAAATCTCCTAAAGGCCACGAGTAGATGACATGAGCAGCTCTGGAACAGTAATTCTGTCAGGCGTGACTTGTTGAGAAAACAGAGGGGAGCAACAGGCCTGACTGATCCCATGTCAACATGACGTTCCTTTCTCTAGAAATGCTGTTGCATTCCCACGACGCTTTTGCCAGAGGGCTCACACCACTGGCCTTGTTGAACTTCTGTTCGTTTCCATGGGACATTTGTGAGGGGGGGAAAAAGGGGAAAACCTTGCCTCCCTTTTGCTCCCTGAGAGCCCAACAGGGTCCCCGTGCCGAGGCGCTCTCTTGGGCCGATGCACTGATCAGATCCAGATGTTGCTGGAGTGTGGAGGGGACAGCCGAGGAGTGTGGAGGCCTCACTGCAGCACTGATTGATAGGGGTCAGGATGAAGTAGGGAGTCACATTTCTTGACTCCGAACCCCTTCTCTCTGCTTTTCTTTCTTACTTCTGCTCTCACTCTACCACGTCTGCTGTCAGCCTGTCTCCTGATGCCTGTGTTTTATGAACCCTGTTGAGACGGTGTGAAGCTCGGCGGGAGCAGACAGCGTTGCGCTTTAAATCTGGCTCTTTGCCTCACCTCTGCCGAGCGTTTAACGAACTCTTTAACAGTCAGTGGCTTAACCGCAATTTATAGGTACAGAGAACCAGCTTTCAATTAATCTTTCTATCTGCCACGCTGTGAAATGTTGATTATAGTAAATGGAAAACAAAAACAATGATTGTAAATCTCTAGTTGAGAGAAGGAATGGAACTCCCCCCCACCACATCTGTGTGTGAAAGATTTTCCATTGTACTTTCTCCTCACAGAGAGCCACAAAGTTATTGCTTTGTTTCATGGCTGCTCAGATTTGTCCCTCAGCGAAGAAACTTCAAAAACACATTCACTTTTTTGGGGATTTTAGGTTTTAAAATTGGACAATAAGGCAAGTAAATGAGTTGGACTGCTAATAATTTCCAATACAGTAAAGAAATCCAATTAAACAACCTCAGAAAACCTCTTCAATCACCTCTTCAACATGGCCTTCACAAATTGCTTTGCATCGTACAAATGTTTTGTTTATTGTGTCCGTCATCTATTTTGTCAGCAAATAATAACGTGAATATGTTTTGGCCCGGTGCTGTCCTCGCTGAAATGTTTGGGTTTTTGCATCCCTCAGTAAATGTCTGTACTTTTTTCCCCTCAGGACCATGCCGACTGTGCAGAGCTCCGCCGCCCTGCTGCTTTTGAGCCTCCTGATTGGTCTAAGCTACTCTCTGAACCCAAGAGACCCCAATGTGTGCAGCCTGTGGGAGAGGTGAGGCCTGCTTCACTGTCACAAGCAAATATATGTTGCTGTTATATCATCGGTTGGTCAAGACATTCATTCATCACATCAATTACAAAGTAAACTTTTAAGGGAAAAAAAAGCAGCCTCACTGTTTTATACTTGATCTGTAGAGGCAGGAACTAACTTTCCCCACTTTTATTGCTTTTGCACAGAAAATGGTTTACAGAATAAAAATTGATGGTTACCTGACAATCAAATTAAACACCATTACGGCTAGTGGTCATTGCTATTTTCTATCCAGAGATGTGTAGCTATTTAGATGGATCCATAGCTTTCAAAAACACTTTCTACAATTCACCTAAATCCAAGATAAGTACTTTTTCAAGCACTGATTGGCTTTTTTTTTTTCTTCTTCTTCATCTGAGCTAATTCTGTTACACTTTATGAATCCACAGAATTCCCAGTGAGTGGATTAAGGAAGCACAATTCATATAACTTTTGATTTGGCTGTAATGCATTTCTTATAAGACTCTACAGCCACCGGGATCCCCACAGTCATTAGGACTCATCTAGGGCACCAACAAATGAGTTCTTTCATGATTGGTTGAGAAAATAATCAGCGGATTCATCAAACGATTAATTGCTTTATGCATGAAATGTCAGAAAACAGTTTAAATGTCTGTAATCATTTCCCACAAGTCAGGGTGATGTATTCAGATTGCTTGTTTTATTTGAACATCAGTCCAAAACCAGAATATATTCAGTTTTGTATAATATAAAAAAGAAAAATCCTCAAATCCTCACATTTTAGTTTAACTAATAGAGCAGGATACGTTTTGTTTGGACTGTGAATGATTGACAGTGCTTGTGATGTTCTGCTTTTCAGCTTCACCACCTCAGTGAAAGAGTCCTACTCTCATCCTTACGACCACGTGACGGAGGAGCCCTGCTCCGACCCTCGGACCTCCTACAGATGCATGCGCCACAGGTAGCAGCAGCGCGATGACTCTTTTCCTGTTGCGGCTGACTTCCTGTTCCTCTCAGCGGAGGGTCAAAGCGTCCTGTTTGACTGCGTTATTGTTTCAGGATCACCTACAAGACGGCCTACAGGCAGGCGGTGAAGACAGACTACCGCAAGAGATACCAGTGCTGTCCAGGCTACTACGAGAGCAGAGACAAATGTGTCCGTAAGTATTTATGGAAACCTTTTTATTGATCAATTCTTCTTTCTTTTTTAAATCACTGAGACAAACAGTCGGAAAGCTGAAACAGTCTTTGAGAAGAACATAAGTTTTGGGCAATATTCAGTTCAGAGAAGTTTTAATACACCATCACCGCAATACATGACAAAGTAAATTGATCCACAGGCCCTCGCCTTCTTTCATGCCCACCTTGTAGAGGAGTTAAAAAGTCAGGTACACAATCTCAATATTTAGATATACTTTATTTATTTCAGTTGCTTTTTAATGGTGTCATTTTTAATTTCCGCTTTCCAAGGACTGGATCACTGTGTGATCACTGAGTGTTCAGCTTAAGATTTCTCCTTTATTAGCCTACATTAGAAAAAGTTCTCTCTGTTTGTCAGTCACAGAGTACCAAAGACACTCAGGTGTGTGTCATTGAATATATAGTCTTGTCCCATAGGACCGTACCCAGTATTTCTTTTAAAACATAGGTACTGAGTCCAAGTGAACTCCTCCAAATCCCATCCATCAGAGCAGTTCAGTGTTATTTAAATGTTTCATATTTACTAACATGAACAGCTTAATCATTTACATTAAGTTACAAATCCCCCTTCATTAAGATAAATGTTGAATACTTACTTTATTGAATTAACAGGGACAGTGCACATTAATGTACATTTGTGTAAATGTAGCAGAAGCTATTTTAAGATTAAATTTCAAAGTTATTGAGACCACCTCTAAGCATCAAAAGCAATCTTAACTGTATCTCTTTTTGTTGACCTTAAAGTTGTCAAATCTAAATATATAGCAAAATAATACTGGAATCAGCTTGGTAAATGTCCACAAAGTGTTGCTTTTTATTTATAGATTGTACACGTCTCCGTAGTTTGCTGAAAAGCCCCAAATCCCAGAGAAAATACTGAGGACATGACCTCAGTGTCCTCAGTGGTAGCTACGCCCCTGGTCCCGCCCATGGGTGGGCAACATCAGTACTACATTGCAAGCAAATATTGTGTATAAACAGAATTATGAAGAGTTCTCAAAATCAACTATAAGAATATATCCAGTCAAAAAACGTCTATGTAATGGAATGTTCTGTCCGATTCCTCGGACAGTTTGAGCTCGATACATTTTTGTAATGTAATAGATTAAGAGTGTTAAACTGATTATGTTCCTTTCATAGTTTCCTGAAAGTATAGCTATTGGTGCACATGTGAAGGAGACCATGTAGTAATCCAGCACAATTCCAAAACGTCTTCTTTTTTTTCTTTTCCATGCAAGATGCAGAGTCAATATGAGCAGCACATGACACTGGAATTACCACAATTATGGGTTCTGTTCTTCTCATGCTGATACTGGCTGTTCTAACTGGAACTTTAAACTTAACTGCGTGTTGCTGACACTATGAAAACCATCTTCATAATTTTCATATTAGTTCAAGGATTTCACGTCATTTCAGCAACTATTATATCATCAACGAGGCATCTGTTCCTGATGAGTTCAGAGGGGTGGTTCTGCTGCCTGCACAGCTCAGCACAGAACAACAGAAACTGAATCATATGAAACACTGATATGAGCAGTGTGCAAACTCACTCCGCTTAACTTTAACACTACGGACAGTTCTAATGAATACAGTAAAGTTGTCCAAAACACGAGACACTATAAAACTATTTGTTGTATTTTATGTGTTTTGATGAGAATAATTACTTAGATTTGCTTTAGTTTTATTTTGTTCTGTGTCTTTCTTCAAACACCTTGGGACCACGATAGAAACAAATACACCAACATGTCATCCTTTAGATTACGCATGTTTTGTAGATCCAGAAATAAAAGGAAATCAAATTAGTTTGAATGTGGAAAACATTCCTACATATGGAGTCAGTTAGCATGGAATCACCTGGAGAAACTGAGCTTTTTATGTGATTAAAGTAATCATAAGCCTATCAGCTCACCCCTAATCTTAACTTGAACTACTTTACTGTAAAGTTCATTGTCAATTTAAGGTCGTCGTGTTTCACAATAAATGTTTGGGTGCGCTAGTTAAAATAAATGACAGTTGTCGTCTGAAAATACCAAATGATGCAGCTGTCAACAGCTTGCTGATGCAGCGTTATTGCCGACAGTCAGCGGTGACATACTATATAAATAAAGCGAAACCATACATGGCCCGCAAGGCTTGAGAAAATTCTACCTCAGCTTTACAAACCTTTGCACACATCACTGGATGATCTCATCAGTGCATGATGGTAATGACAAGGTTTCTGTGCTTTGTGCTTCAAAAACCGACATTTTGGAGATGAATGTTTTCATTCGGCAGAGATAATATGTATTTTTGCTTATTGTTGCTTATTGCTTATTGTTGCGCCATCTTTCACATCAGTGTTGCATGTGTGTGTGTGCGTGTGTGTGTGTGTGTGTGTGTGTGTGTGTGTGTGGTGTGTGTGTGTGTGTGTATATAGAGTTTTTTGTAGCCAAACACAAAAGCCTTTGATTTTACTGACTGACTTCAGAAAAGCAGACTGGAGCCGACTGATTGCCGTTTTAAGCTCTATAATTGAAATATCTCAACCTTCAACGTGTCGTGTAGGACTCCTCCCACACCCACTTTCTATACACTGTTTCTTTATTTCCTAAATACATATAATTAGATATAATTACACTTACCTCCTTCATTGGATGGTGTGTACGCCTTTTCTTAGATCCCTGAAATCTCCAGCTTCCAAACACCTTGAACTAGAGAGGAGAAAATAATCAGTTCAATTATTGTTTATTTAAAAGAAAAACACCATGTGCTTTACACAGCATTTGGTTAGAAAACACTTGTCTAGTGTAACCAAAACTGAAGAGATCTCTGGCTGAATTATTAGTCTGCAGTCATGAATGCATGTCTGAATCAACTTAATTACTAGCAGAACCATTGATGATGCCGGCAGGGACCAACAACTCAAAGACTGGCTTTCTAAGAGGAGCCTCCTTGACAGTATGAATGGCACTGGTGCTTTCAATTGTATGGTCGAGCCCAGCTGTCGGACTGACGGCTCACACACTGTTTATGATGGGTGGAACACATTTAGGAGGGAAAGAATGCAATTCAGTTGAATAGATTTTTAATTGAATAAAAAAAAAGCACACCCTTGAAATAGTGCCCTTCTGAAATAGATTGAACACGTGCTCTTTAGTAATATTAATAATCATTTCCGTAGCACCCTTTCTTTAAACAGTGTTTCACACACAAACAGGACGCACATAATTAGATACTTGAGGATTTTACAAAAAGGAAATATAGTAACATCAAAGTTATTGGAAGAATATATTTAAAGAAGAATTGGCAGATAGCAAGTTGATCAAGTGAGTTCTCAGTGTTCAAAGTGATTTTCTTACTGGTCTGATAGACATCTGTGATAACACCAGTAGTTATACAGTATATGCCCTGTACAAGTGATTCCCAACAAGACTATACTTCTACAGGTACCAGTGTGTGCGTGGAAAGATAGAAGAGTAACTCAGCTTCTTCAGTGTTCAGATGTAAGCTGGAACTCAACACTACATGCTGCAATTGAGATTGTGTGAAAACTAGTATAGTAGAACAAAGAGAAGCCTCTGAATCTAGCTAAGGATGTAGTTGGAATTAGTTTAGCGCATATCAAAGTTATAAAGAACAATGGGAGAACACCGACTGGTTTAGACCTTCACTGGGTCTTCCTCAGTATCTAAATGGCAGCCAAGAGAAAAGCTGGTCGATATGGTTGAAACGCAAAGGAAAGATGCTTCAATGCTTCCCGTCTTATGTCCCTTAGCATAGGGAACACTGGGCCATCCTAAGGAGATAATGCCGTCCCACAGTTCCTTGCGACAACGACATTTAAAGCGACGCACCAGTCGGCCGCTAATAAAATCTGCCGTTGAATTGTACACTACGGATACATTTAAAACATCCTCTTAGGAGGTGCGATTCTGTTTCAGCATTGAGTTTGTCGCTGTTGCTTTAAAAAATATCCATAGCCTAGTGTAAGAACAGTGAGTTGTCCTTTTCCTAAATCCTCATGAATTCTCCTTCACATCATGACGTTTTCCATAGAGGTCAAGGAAAAGTAGTTAGGAAAAGACATAAGGATGTCATTTAAAAAAAAGATTCAACCGTAGCCAAAGTCTAAACGCATACAATTCCAGGATCACATTGTCTTGTGTGAAAAACAATCATTGCAACGATTTCCACTTTGATGTAATCATGAGTGCTAAATCACACCAGGTTCCATTCGAAGGACCAGAGTTAGTGAAGTGGTTCTTGAGCTCATCTTATTGGGCTCATCACACAAAGAATACAGTTGGGAACCATTGGCTGATCTGATCCGCACCACATGCTGTATGTCTCCACAAAGCCAGCTCTGTTATAAAGTGTGTTTCCCATCAACAGCTCACTGCACCAAGGAGTGCGTCCACGGTCGATGTGTCGCTCCAGACCGTTGCCAGTGTGAGGGAGGCTGGCGAGGAGACGACTGCTCCAGCGGTATGAATCAGTCTTTTCCCCTTCGCTCAGACATTTCCTCACTCTCTCGATTGCTTTTTTTTTTTCTCCCAGCGCCTTCTCTTTTCCCTCACTCTTCAGGTGTGCACACACGTGCACACACACACACACACACACACACACACACACACACACACACACACACACACACACACCAGGAAAAGACAACTGGCCATTAGTCAAGTGGCTGATCATCACATACACCACTCCATCACACACACAGAAAGAAGGCCTTTCCAATGGAAACGGCAAGGGAGCATTACCGCATCAACAGCAATGAGTCATGAATGTCAGACCAGAAGGAGCTGCATGTCCACCTCTGACTCAGTTACTATTCAAAATGAATAATAATAACTCCAACAAACGTAACGAAATAGCATTGCGAGATAAATACTACGTGATGTACTGAAAGTAGCCACAGTGCATTAAAGAAAGAGTTAAGAGAGAGACAATAAACCTGCTTCTTCTAGTTGTTATGTCTTCTTTCACGAAACTAAAGTCAGCAGAAATGATTATATAATAGTTATTCAAGGCACCAACTCAGAACAGCGAGTCGAACCCAGTTTGTCTGAAATCTCCTTGAATGTGATCGTCCAAACAACGTGGCGTGTGAAACCAGAGCCACGCTTCGCGGGGCTGCTGTCCCCCTCACTGTAATCAAGTTTTCCACCTTCAGCCCGTTTCAACGCAGTCAGCTGGGTCAGTGGTACACAGCCCCCCCTCTTATTCCTCTACAGAAAGAGGGAATTAGCTTTAACGGGTAGTGGTTGATGCCTTGACAGGGGGATGATGGGAAGGGGAAATGGAAAAAGTTACCCCTCTCTCTCTTGCAAGGACCAGGTCTCTCTGTCTCTCCTTACACTCTTCCTCCTCCTACTCCTCCAACTCACTTCAATTTTCTTTCACTCTGCTCTTTTCTCTTCTTCCACTCCTCTTTCCAGCCTTGGCTCCACAGTATCGTCCTATAATGGAGTATTTTTGGCAGAAGGAGCCCTGATACTTCCTGGATGCCTGTGTGTTGAGCTATCTAAGTATGGGAAAGAGGAGAGAGGGGACTGAGGTTTTCATGCCGACCACTTTTAGGACTCTTTGCCCATGAATATGGAGAAAAGGGGGGAGTTCTATACATGGCAGAATGTAAAAAAGCATTAAAAGAAGTATTCAGTTCTTTTACTTAAGTAAAAGTACCACACTATGTACATACTCCACAAGTAAATGTACTGCCTTCAAAACCTCACTGAACAGGAATGGTATAAAAAAAAAGTCAAATGTAGAAGTAAAAAGTACAATGATTCCATTTAAGATGTAGTGGATTAAAAGAGTACATTGACTTTGTACTCAAGTACAGTACTTGTTTAATCGGTTGCATTCCACCTCCAACAAAAAGCGAGGAAGAGTGGGAGAGAATGAAAAACAGGAACATTTTGGTAATTGCAATGGTTGAGGTAAGAGAAAAGCAGGAATTGCGGCTCAGTGGGAGCTACAAAATGTCATGTCAAAATATTTAATGCTTTACGTAGGCATCGTTTCAGGGCAGATTTTGATCGAGGGACGCAGAGTGCTGCAATCAAAAACGAGCAGCGAGGGTTGTTTAAGAGATCCAGGAGATGATGTGGACTTTGTACGCAAGCAAAACCCAAACCACTGCTTGGACAATTCTCAGGGGAAAGGCAAGAATTTTCCCACCATACCAATGTGCATTCCTAATAAAAGACAGTGAAGAGTTGCCAGTTCTGAAGTGTATGTCAGTCAGTGGGTTTACATGCACGCAGTATTACAGATACTGGTATGCATCACTGTAGAGGTCATGTTAATGATGGTCTGTATCGATTACATGTTCATAACTCCATCACAGAAATGAAGTTAAGCTTTTAAGTCTCCTGAGAGGACAAGTTCAGAGAGTCTGTGTGGTCGTAACGCTGTTTTGTTGCGTCACTGTGATAAATAATCAAACTCTTACATGGAAAGTTGGCCATGAATTCCCCTTCGGTGTGAAATGTCAACCTTCTGGCAATTTTGGATTGATCTGTGCTTGTTGTTACTGCGATCAAATCAAAGTAAGACACAATTAAGCCGAGTTAAGTGCATTTGATGAAGGTAAACTAACTCAACATCGCTTTGCTCATGTTTACGTGACGATAAGCAAACACACTGGCTGGTTGCTCAAAAACAGCAGGTCCAATCTGGCACATTTCAGCTAGTCACTCATCTTACTGTCTGGATGCATCGGCCCCCTCAGTTCTTGAGCCGACTGAGCTGCAGACCCTTCAGTAAATCTCCCCTGCTGTCCTAGAGAATGTCTGTGTAAACATAATCGCTGCTCCAGCTGAGTTTCTCATTCGTCAACGTGACAGAGAGCCCCTCTCCAATGCCCACACAGAACACGTGAAGGTACGATTCATTTAAACAAAACAAAAAGCAAGGGTCCTGCTCCGCGTCCAGTGCAATAAACACTACAGTCCATGGCAGTGCGCTTTGCTCCAGGCCAAATTTGGCTCTACTCTACCCTCTGTGTAATTATTGTCAAAGCAGTCCTTGTGCTTTTCAAAAGCTGAGGTAGGGCATGAGTGCTGCAGGGGCAACGGTAGGGGGGGGGCTCTTGTTTTTAGCTCAAGTTCACCGACGGCCATCCATGCGTTACGTCAGTGCTATTGGATATCACATTTTCTCGATGATGTGCAACACAGTCGTAAGGCACCGATGACAAATTTGAAGAATGCACCCTTGACCAATAAGGCGACCCAGTGGACTGAGATCTCTTCATCATGAATTGAAACCCAAACCTTGTGTGAATCTTTGCACTGCACTCTAACCCCCGCCGGAGCTGATCCTCAAGCTTCTGTAAAATGAACCTCGTCCAAACTCGTCCATCTTGTGAGCTCCATGCAAATCTCCCTGCCAAGTCGAAATTATTTGTTGGTAATATAACACCGCAGGACCAAAAGAGGGAGATTTGGATGTGGAAGCACGAGGGACATCGACAGTAATGTCTGGAAGAGTCAGTACTTTATCTCCTTCCCGAGCTCTTCCGCTCTCGTTTTTCATCTGTGTTGTTGAATTTAAATCTGATTTATTTCTGTGTATTTGTTTTTCATGACATCATATGTTACTGTAAGTGTACACCACAGTGTATGGGAGGAAAACAGCATGAGGAGAAACAAACCTGACACTAAATGATCGCACATGCATCATGTGCAAGTTACAATAATCAGCAGTAATCATATTTTGCGTCGGTGTTTTTATTTCATTTCCAGCATTGCAGAGCAGGTTTGACTCAGTGTTTAGGGAAGAAGGCGAATTACTGGAAGCTGACTGGTTTGAATCCTTGCAAAATGTGCGCAATGAAAGTGAGAATGTGTGTCGCTGTTTAACTACACGAGTAGTGTTGGTACTGGAAAACAAAAAAAATACTTTTCTTGGACAAGAAAAGTCTTACAAAGTGAGGTGCCCAATAAAAACACTACATTTCCCCCCCCAGGTAGTATTAATGACAATCTAGTTTAATCTAGAATCCAGTAACCGGTAGCATTAAATATATCAAATTTAGAAAGTGAGATTAAATTTAAAAAAGCTAATCCAATAAACCAAACATCCAATTCATATTTTAAAAACTATTTTGCCTGAATAAACCAGAATACGGTTGTGTTTCAGTATCTTAGCATACTTCTTAATCAATAAACTACTGTTTGTCCCGTTGCCTTTCAGCCTGTGATGACAAACAATGGGGGCCAGGCTGCAGTCAGCAGTGCAAGTGTGAGAACGGAGCTCTCTGCGACCCCGTCAAGGGGACGTGTCAGTGTCCTCCGGGGTTCATAGGACGCCACTGCGAGGAGTCCTGTCCAGCGGGCAAGTTCGGGAAGGGCTGTCAGGAGAGGTGCAAGTGTGGGACCGGAGGATCCTGTGATAGAGCAACCGGAGAGTGTTTATGTCGGGACGGATTCACAGGGACTTTGTAAGTGCACAAAAATAAAAATCAATATTAAACGGGAGCCTTGCATACTAGGCGGTTCATTACTTTTATCCGATTCCTAAATAAATATAGTATTTTTGGAATGGTTCCCCTTTTTCACAGTTGCTGCTAGAGGAAATCAAGGGATCAACAAAGACCATGACTGTCTTTATCAAATTGAATGGCAATCCATCCAAAAGTTGTTGAGATATTCAAGTCTGAACCAAACCCACACTGCCATCCTTTGCTTATGCAGCTAACGTAGCTGAAATTGACACAATGTCAATTTTAGTATAAGCCATTTTTATAGTATGTATAGTTAATTATGTAATTTAGGAGACACTTGATACCTCACTTCATTACACATCACAGTATTACACTTTATCTTAATTTTCTCAGGAGGTCTGTCCATCACAGATCCGAGTTATTTGTTTCCACAACTTTATTATCCATGAAGTTAATGAGTCATCTGTTACGCCTCGTTTTTAGTTGCCCCCGAGGATGAGTAAGCAATCAAAACTCTTCCCCACTAAATATTAGTGGAAACTCTTTTACTGCCAATGTGAACAACACACCACCTCCAGCTGAATAAGAAAGGGGGCTTGGCAACACTGACCATTGGATAAAGCTCCTTGATGAATTGTGCATTTGAAGTACGTCCATATTATTTCACCTCAAGGGTGTATTAGAAAATATAATATCCCAACACTGAATTGGACAAGAGGTAGTTTTAGCCAAGAAATCTTATTGGTTGAAGACACGTTCCAACCGTGCTGATGGTTCCCACTGAGCTGTTGAAATGCCAAGCCTTCCAGTAATCAGAGAGCTACTGTTAGTCTTTATTGACCTCACCTTTTTTTGTTTTACTTTTACTGCTTTCCTTCAGAGTAGTTTAGTAGAATATAATAGGGCTGTATGAACTACTAAATGCTGTCTCCAAAAGTCATTATGTTTGTATAAAACTGCTAGAGTTACTTTAGTTAGTTTTCAAATTTTAAAAGGTAAAATGAAGTCATACATTCAGATGAATAAAAGTACAAAAATATCAGCATACAAATATACTTTAAGTATGAAAAGTAAAAGCAATCATTTTGCAGAATTACCCATTTTGTATATTATAATTATTGACACATTAATGTGTGCGTCACTTTAATGTTGCAGCTAGTAAAGTTGGGACAAATATTTTATTTCCCACGGGGATCATTAAAGTCTTATCTTCTATAACACATCATGATTTATTGATTATAATTTGCATTATCGCTCTAGTTCTGTACCCAGTGACTAACATTATCAAACAGAAAAAGGAATAAAAATAACAAGATTTGCCTAATTGTGGTGGAGTAGAAGTATAAAGTAGCAGAAAAAAGAAATACTGAAGTAGAAGAAGCTCAAAATCTTACTTAATTGAGTAAATGGACTTAGTTCAGGTAAGATAAGTTTCGTCTATATAGAACATTTCAGATAGAATGGCAACTGAAAGTGCTTCACATGAGCATAAACATACAAAACAAAATAAACACCTCTAGGCTGGTGCTTGCATAACCAGTTTCATAGAAATGCTGCAAACATTTATTTTCTTCACTTTTACTGTAGAACAAAACCTTTACTTAAGTCCTCAGGAATGCCCCAGGAGGACACATGTAGCGTTTTTCACTAAAGTGGTCCATTAAGCCGTTATTAAGCATCGACTCCATCCTCTCGCCTCCCCCCCCCCCCCCCAGCTGTGAGAAGGCGTGTCCCAGGAAATGCCAGGCACGGTGCCCCTGCCAGAATGGAGGCATCTGTAAAGGCAAAGGGATCTGCGATTGCCCGCCTGGATGGACGGTATGTTTTCAAGTTAAAGCGTTGCACCGACACCGACCTTCATGTTATCTGTGGAGGTTGCCAGATTTTGAATTAGCCTGACTTTCAAGCTTTCTCCAAACTTTGGACAAGTCTCTGACTTGTTGTCCAAAGACAGAGACAACCGGTCATCTCTGGGGACATGCAGATGCAAGGTTTTCCCCTAATGTAAAATTTGGAAGACATGCACGAGGGGAGAATAGGTTGTGCTCTCATCAGGGAGCAAACTAACCACTTATTTTCTGAGTAACTGCGAAAGTTGCCATGTCGATGTCTCGTTCCAGTTCTTGCAGTGATGCATCTGCGTTCACTTGGCATTTCTTTCTGCCTCAATGTTTTTTTTCCTCGTTACTCTGCAGGGTGCAGTTTGCACGGTGCGATGTTCAGAGGGAAGGTTTGGACAAAACTGTGCCGATGAGTGTGTCTGCCACAACCGGGGCAAATGTGACCCCGAAACTGGACAGTGCCAGTGTGCTAAAGGTTTCACCGGTACTAGGTGTGTATATGTTTGACTGTTCTTGTGCCTGTAGCCTTCCTTAAAGACCATTCATGCCAAGGGACAGCTCCTTTCTCCACTCTAAGAGAAGAACCCAAACATACAACCGTTTTCTCTCTGGAGAAATCTTGATTCGGTATTTTCCTCCTACATTTGATGTCCTTTGGTATTAAAGCACCACAGCCCAGCTGGGTTGGATAATATCAGCATTCTGTGTGCAGTAAATTGATTCCATGATTTCTACTCACTGAACTGAAATTTAAACTATTCAACATTTTGTCATTGATGTGCAAATCTCGTCCAGCTCTTCCGTGTGTCTATCCAACCTTCTGTGTTGCTGCCCTCAGGTGTAACGAGGAGTGTGCTGCAGGCACGTATGGTCAGGGCTGTAAAGGTGTGTGTGACTGCGCTAACGGCGCACGCTGCTACAACATCGACGGAGGCTGCCTTTGCGAGCCGGGCTTCAGCGGCCCACACTGCAGGGACAGAATGTGTACACCGGGCAAATACGGCATGCACTGTGAACGCAAGTGTCTCTGCCAGGACAAGCAGACACTCAGGTGAGTTGATGGCATCAGGAAAAACTGGTTTAAGTGACGCAAACATTTCCCTGTGGCAGAGATTATCCAATTATGGTTGAGCAAAATCTCAGTGAGCAGAGCCTAAGACACACCATTTTAGGTAAGTTAGCCAGCTACTGGTGGCCCCACATGCTAACTTAGCTCATACACTCCTCAGACGTCAGTCCTTGTTGGTTAACACAGTGAATGGGTTCACATGAAAGTGGGAAGGGTTTACTCAAGGTATTTTACAAAATCAAGACTTATCTCTTATACATACTGCCAATAAAGCAAACATCTTACCTTTGCAAGGCTTGTCATAAGTATGGTTTCAAGTCCTCAACACCTCTCGCTGGTAGGTCTGATGAGCTCGACGCTGCCACCTGTGTTCATAAAACAACCGCGAGTTTGTGTGCACAACCTTCAAAAATACTCCGGCAGCGTCCAGCAACATCTTAATCCTTTCCGACTTCCTCTGTATTTCAACCGCACAATTTATGACCACAGCAATTAGTGCTAAAAAGCCCCCTTCTTGTCCAATGCTCTTTCAGGCAACTCCTTTTCAAAAGTCAAACGCACCACAGGTGTTTTCATTCCACGCGATTAGACCTCTTCTGAGGACTGTGTGCAGTCTGTGCTCGATGCACATCTCTCTCACTCTCCTGTTGCACCTGTGGTGGAGGTGGGGCAACTAATCACCTAATCAACCACAATAATTAAAAACACCTGTGTGGATGAGCACGTTTGCTAATTAGTCTAGCTGAACTGGTCCTCAAGTTCATTGGCACCACCAGCTGAGATGTTTTTCAACCAATGGGATTGTTTCCGATTTCAGAGCGGCTCTGCTTGTCAAATATTACTATATCAATTAAAAAAAATATGGACAGAAGTGAATACCCACGTCCTAATGATAAAAATGCAATTTCGGAGTGTAGCTCCTCATTGTTTTCTTTTGCAGAGTCAGCACTTTCATCACCTTTACCTCTATTTTCATTGTCCAGCTGCCACCCGATGAAAGGAGAGTGCACATGCCAGCCAGGGTGGGCCGGACTGTTCTGCAACGAGACCTGCGCTCACGGTTTCTACGGTCACGGTTGTCTGGCGCCGTGTCTGTGTGTGAACGGAGGGGTGTGCGACAGCGCCACGGGACGATGCCGGTGTGCCCCCGGTTATACGGTGAGTGGTGGAGTTTAGCATTATTTAGTTTGGATTCAATGAAGAAATTTATAAATGAAGATAATGAATAATTTGACATTTTCTGTGCTCAGATCTGATTACCTATTTTATTGTATATTTGTCTCACCTGTTATATGTTGTCTAGGTTTATCATCAAAGTTAATATTTTTAATTATTGCAGGGGGTTCACTGTGAGCATCTTTGTAAAAGTGGCACCTACGGCAAGAACTGCTCCCTGGAGTGCTCCTGTGAAAACTTCGTCGACTGCTCGCCTATTGACGGGACTTGCTTCTGCAAAGAGGGTAAGAAAATATTCACACAGACGTGATCACTGTGAAAGAGGAAATGTTTGACTGCCTGACAGGTCAACGCTTGACTTATTGACAGACTGGAGCAAAATTGGTGAAATAACATTCTATCAAACATGGCTGATGGCCCTTTGGTGTGTCTGCAGGCTGGCATGGGCCGGACTGTTCCACCCCCTGCTCTGAGGGAACCTGGGGCCCAGGATGCAACGCCACCTGCCACTGCGCCAACGGGGCAAAATGTAACCCTGCAGATGGATCCTGCGCCTGCACAGCCGGCTGGCAGGGGGCGCGCTGTGACCAGTCGTGCCCGGTAAATGTCTGAACATGAGGCTTTATAGCTTTGCCTATTTGTTTATGAAGTGGTACGGAGGAGAGGATCAGATAATCTCAAACTAGACCAAAACATATATATATATTAAGAAACCTAGAAATTGTACTATTCACATCACTCTGCAGTAGATTATTTCACCAGTTTTTTTTAAATGAAATGGGGGTAAACTCTAACCTCCAGCCAGAGCTAACAGCCACCACTGACAATTATCCGTTTTATTTAATACAATTTAAATTACTTTGATGTTAACCACAGAAAAAATTTTGATAAAAAAATTAATAAACTGCAAATAAAAAGGTAAGATAAGATGGAACTTTGTCAATACCGGAAGACATTTTTGTGCCGAAGATGCTCGTTATATGTAGAAAAATATATATACTTTATATAAAATATACATGCAATAATATAGAATAAAATTAATTGACATAGCATAGGGTGCACCGTTTTAATGAAAAGATCACTTGTTAAACTTATTATCCCTTCATCTCCCAAAGCAACAGAAAATGCCCTGGACTAAAGCCACAGCGTTGCATGAAAACACACGTCACTTTGTAAAATAACGCTAACTGTGGAAGATAAGAAAAATGTGCTGTACGTTTATTGTATGTCGAGCTGAGTGGACAAATGCACTGCTATCTTTGATAAGCCTATTACACAAATCATAAGGGTGATAATCATACAGAACATGTCGGGTTCTGATTGGACAGTCTTCAGAAATGCTGTCCAGCTTTTCATCCCTTACCTCACCCTCTGTATGTTTTAATCTGTGATTTGGACGCGTGCCCCTCGTGTCTCCGCTATGCCAACCCACCAGGCTGTCTATACAACCACACATTGCCAGTGTAGTATTTTGTCTGACTCTGACTGAGCTGGCCCAATGTTGAAGAGATTCCCCTGACAATTCTGTGCCCGTTGGCATTTGCTCACATGTGCAGATGGAGACGTTTGGGCCAGGCTGCCTGAAGAGGTGTGATTGTGTTCATGCCGACGGCTGCCAGGCTGCCACCGGGGAGTGCCACTGTCTGCCAGGATGGTGGGGTAAGTGATGACGTCCTCCTGGTGTCGCTGCCAGCTCGGCTTTGGTACCAACAGAACTGACGGAGCCACAGGTTTTAAACCACTCGGTCTCTCTTTGATCCGGATTGTACTGTTCTCTGACTTAAAGGACCACCGTTGACTTCAAATCACCTAAAATTCACATCGTGACAAACATTTTTTACCCTGCACCAGAGGTTTTCTACTTTGCCTGCTGCTATTATTTTTCATTTTAAAAGCTGTATAAGATGGGCAATACATGACAGAGTTTATATTTATGCGTTTTAATTTTAACGCTATTATCACATTCAGTGTTGGAGGAAGTATTCAGATCTTTTACTTAAACAGTAAGTGAAAATACTGCAATATAAAAACACAAATAAAAGCCCTTCACCCAAAATTGTGTGCAGAAGTACAATCAGCAAAAAGTACTTTATTAAAAGTACTCATCCATTAATAAATGACCCCCGAGTGTTGTTTTATCATATATTGTATTACTGTTCCTGATGTATTATGTATAAGTATCATTGTACTGATGTAGTTTGACATTCTGGATCGAATTTTGACTATTTTAAATACTGCTGGATATTTATTGTAACAATACATCATATTTACAAAAATGTTCTGTACAGTACTTGCAGTTAATATTCTTAGTTACTTCCAACCACTGATCACATTGTAATACAGCTCAGCAAGGATTGTGGATGCTAAAACACTAAACATGTGATAGTCTGCTCCCAAACAATTAGAGCAAGAAACTACAATTAACATTATCCCTTTCACTCCTTCTCTATTTGCTTATCATTTGACGTTATACATGAGTATAGTAGTCTTAGATGTTGGTGGTTCATTAAACACAGCAACAAGGAAATCCTTTAAAACTGTCTTTGCTAGCAACTGCCTTGTGATTATAAATAAACTCAGATCAAAGGGACAACTTGCTCAGTTCTAGATTATTTATCTGAACAAGGTTTCAAGTCTCTGCAAGCTGATTTTCACGGTTCTAAAATGATTTGAAACCAATGTCTTTGTTCATGGAAGGAAATCAAATGCGCTACACATCAGTCAGTATAGTATATACTCATTGTGTAGTAAATGGACTAAAACGTGCACAGATTATTGCATCAATACTTTAAACTCTGAGAGGAACCATTCTTCACGTTGACTATTTTTCCATTTGATAGTTGAATACATTGTACTTGTTATATTTGCTTACTCCTACTGAAGTACATTTATGGATGCATGACTTTTACTTGGATGGAGTACATTGTGGTATTGCCAATTTTCATCCACCCTCCCATTTCTTCCCTCCAGGTTCTCGCTGTAGCGAGCCATGTTCAGAGGGCCTGTGGGGGCGCCGCTGTAACCAGACCTGTTTCAAGCATTGCCCCAACAGCGACACGTGCTTGAGGGAAAACGGAGCGTGTGTGTGTCGCCCAGGCTACTGGGGAGTCGCCTGTCAGAACAGTGAGTGTTGTCGTCAGCCAGCTGACAAACAGCAGAAAACAGATCAGATGAAAACCAGAAGTGTACCGGACTGACATCTGCTCACTCTTTATCCGCTTGTCTCCCAGAATGCAGAGCTGGTATGTATGGGGACCAGTGCAGTATGTCATGTCCATCCTGTGACCAGTCGTACCGCTGCCACCATGTGACAGGAGAGTGTGATTGCCTCCCTGGACACACTGGACCCAACTGTGATCAAGGTTGGCATTAACATCATAAATCACACACCAATCATCATAGATGTTGCAGAAACGCTCTACGTTCAAACTCGATTCAATCCGCTACGGATAATTCTACACATGCCATCGTGTGTGTCTTACAGTTTGTCCAGCTGGCTACTACGGCAAACAGTGCTCTCAAGTGTGTGTTAACTGTGCCAACAACTCCACATGCGACCACCGGGACGGTCACTGTGAATGTTTGCCTGGCTGGACCGCTACTGACTGCTCCATACGTGAGTGCAACGTCATACAGAAACTAGAGAAGTGCATTTTCTGGAGGAAACGTCTTAAAGACTAACATGAAAAGTGACTTCTGATGGGGGATATGTTGATATGTTTGAAGTAGCTTGCAAAGACATTCGGTTTATTATCCGATATGAAAAAGAAAAACAGCAAACCCTCGCATTGGACAAGGTGACATCAGAGAGTGTAATTTAGCTTGAGAAATGGCTAAATCAATTTATCGATTATTAATTAAGATTGTTGTAGATTAATATACTGTTGATTGACTAATAAATACATCAGCTACATCAGTGTAAGTTGTAATGGATGTGATTCGTACCTTGTGTTTTCCAGCCTGTAGTCCGGGGCGTTTTGGTCCATTCTGCACTCAGACCTGCTCCTGTCCGACCAACCTCATCTGTGACCGATATACTGGAGACTGTGTGTGTGAAAGTGAAGGAGAAGACTGTAAACAAGGTATAGATCCAAACATGTTTTCAATCTTTTTTTCTCGAGAAGTAGTGGATAAAAGTTGTCACTGGCTTGATATTCCATTTGTAAATTGAGTGGCTTCTATGGCTGTCATTTTAACTGTCAATTTACTACTGATGGTAAATGAGAAATAGACTTGCACTTGTATAGCGCCTTTCTATGGGGCACGAGAGAACCAGAACCAGGACTGCACAGGGCAGACTGTCAGACGCTGCTGCAGTAAAATGAAAGGTTCTCTTGAGGGACTTTGTGCTTGGAAACACTACCACTTTCGTCCACAGGGACCGCCAAAATCAACACAAAATGAAAATCCCTTATAGTAGCTTTAACGAACTGTACTTTATTTCTCTTTCCACCTCCTGTTTGACAGACTCGTTTGTGAAGTCAGGGAGCGTGATGGTCCCCCTTCCTCCTGGTGAGAGGGAGTCGTGGGGAGCCATCGGAGGCATCGTCGTGCTCGTCATCTTGGTGGTCCTGCTGCTGGCTCTGCTGCTGCTCTACCGCCGCCGGCAGAAGGACAAACAGAACAACACGCCGACCGTGTCCTTCTCCACCAGCCGCACAGTCAACTCTGAATACGCCATTCCAGGTATGTCAATATTCATATGCTGTATATGGTGGTGGATCAAGTACTACTCAGAAGTTTTACTTACCAATACAACAATGTTAAAATACATAATTAAGTAAGATATTTAGCTCTTTTTAAATTAAATAGTCATTATATTTTGATGTTTATATAGCTGCTCTCGGTCAGAATGTGGTTTTAATAGTGTATATGTGTTTTTGTAATTATTGTTCCACAGAGATGCATTTTATTGCCCTTGAGGTAATTTCATTGCAGCAGACGTGATTCCATCTGTTTGTTTTGGCCTACAGATGTTCCTCACAGTTACCACCACTACTACTCCAACCCCAGCTACCACACACTGAGCCAGAACAGGCCTCCGCTGCCACACCTCCCCAACAACCACGGCCGCACCATCAAGGTGAATGCCACCTCTGTTACACCACCCCGGCACTGATATGTAATTTATCCAGTGTTTTCAGGGTAATGAAATTATAAACCGTAAAGTGTTGACCCAGTAAGTCACAGCTCTTTACTTCATTATATATAGCTATTTTGTTTTTTGCCTTTCTGATTGGTGTACTATTCTGTCTGTCTTACAGAACACCAATAACCAGCTGTTCTGCAGTGTGAAAAACATGGAGAGGGAGAGGCGGGGCCTGTTCGGGGTTGAGAGCAACGCCACTCTACCTGCAGACTGGAAGCACCACGAGCCTCGCAAAGACGCAGGTCCGTCTGGGTGACTCTCTCCGCTGTGTGATTCACATTCAGGACCAGCATTTAGAGGAGACCCTTGTGCAGATAGACCTAGAGCAATAAAAATGAAATGAGTGGATTAACATTTAAAAATAAGGATTTGGTTTCCGGACAGCCACATCAAAAATAATCTGTAAAACCTGCAACTTGCTGCTAATGTCACCTTCTGCTAGAAATAATTTATTATTTCATAAGTTTTATCACACTGAATTTGTTTGTATTTAACAAAGAAGTAATCACTCTTAAAGGCATTGACCACCAGCAGTAGTTATCAGCTATCAATGTGACAATACCTGTGTTGATAAAGGCTTTTAAAACCCCAGATGCAACAAAACCACAGGAGTGTCCGTTCAGGGAAGAGACGTGCAGTGACAGCTGAGGAGAAAAGTTCTCTTTTTATACACCAAAGTTTATCGTCCATTTCCTTTTGGACAGAAAATCATTCTTGTCAACAATGCACATTTAATGTGAGACTATAAAAACAATAAGGCCATCATAAAAAGTGGTAGTTGCATTGCCAGCATGCTCTCACCTGGTATTGATTTTGCAGGTTTCCAAAGGGGATTATCTGCCTTTCATTAGTTTGCCATAAATAAGATCAAGATGCCAGAATTGTCTTTTATTGCTTACAGGAGCTTTTGGAATTGATCGGAGCTACAGCTACAGTGCCAGCCTCGGAAAATATTACAACAAAGGTAGTTTATTACCCTATTTTCACCCTTTTTGCTCTTCTGTTACCTACTACAGAGAATTAGCAAAACATACATCTGCAGGACGATGCTACATAAAACTGTATGTGCAATTATGAAAAGATTACACGAATATATATTTGTCTTTATTTGTAAAGTGTACAGATTATAGACTGACCTTGGTCCGGCTGCTGTGCCACATGTTCCTGACTGTCACATATCTTTGCTTCCTGTGTGGTGGCAGAGCTGAAGGACGCGGTGGCGGTGAGCAGCAGCTCTCTGAACAGCGAGAATCCTTACGCCACCATCAAAGACCTGCCGGGTTTGCCCTTCTGCCCCACAGAGAGCAGCTACATGGAGATGAAGTGCACCGTGCCCAGAGAGCGAGCGTACACCGAGATCAGCCCGCCACCCTTCAACATGGCCACCGTACGCCGAGGTGAGCGACACTTTAGACCTCCTTCAGATATGTACCGATGAGTTCCACCTCTCCACAATAACAGCTGGTTGCCTTTCATGTTTTTAATGTTCTTGAATAGTGTGATGATGTTCCTACATCATTAGTATCACAAGGGGAAAAGATCAGGTTGTTAGGAAGAGTCAGAGTCGCATATCAGTATATTCCTGTGAGCCAATCACATGTAGGACCTCAATAAGGACTCAACTTATTCAAGTATAAAGAGGAAGAATTTAAAGGAGATGCCAGGAAGTGGAATGAGACAAAAGTCAACATATCTTACTGATTTTCTAAAATAAGATACATTCAAAATTATAACTAAATTGATAGCATTGCTGTAAGGCTACAACTAACAATTGTTTTTTGAATTATCCACTGATTATTTTTCTCGATTAGTCAGTCGGTTGTCCATAACAATTTGAATCCTGTCTGACCAAGAGTCCAAAACGAACAAAAAGATAATTAATAAATCACATATAGGATTTTTTTTTTTAAAACAGCAAATCCTTGCAATATTGAAGCTGTCATAAGTGAATGTTTGGCATTTTGCTTGAAAAGTAGTTGCTGACTGTCTTTCTGTTGATGGACTTATCAATCAATAGACTTATTGTTTCAGCTCTGAACCCTGTCAGGTCAATCAGGGCAATCCTTCTGAACAGCGTAACACTCATTCAAAAATGCGTCATCCTTCCATCCTCAAGCAATAATCAAAATCCAGAGCTGAGACTTAAAATAATGTGAAAAACTCATTTTTATTCGATCAGTCAAACGTTGGAGGAGGATTTGTGCTCTGACAGATGGGGAGGATGGGCTTCCTGAAGGCAGCAGGCTGATAAATGAGCAACTGTTTACAGGGAAGAGGAAGAGCGGGAGAGAGGATGTTCTTCTGTTAGTCCAGACACCAGTAATACATCAACATGAGGCCAGACTTTATGGTGGGAAACATGTGAGAAACAAATCCTTACATTCATGGAAATAGTGGCTTGATACGAGTCTTTCTCTGCAGTAGAATGTCTCCATTTTGGATCCTGGTGGCCAATTTGGGGGAGGAGAAGTGGGAGAAAATAGCTCTCCCTCCCCTCCGTCAATAACTGTTATTTACACTCACTCAAGCAGAAGATTGAGGTCAATGATAGAAAAACATATATATTAAGACAGCTTTTCCTGTGTATTTTGTTAAAGGGTAAAACACGTTTCTAATAATAAACTCTAAACTTTAAAACATGGTTCTTGAGATCATCATTCGTTCAGTGAACACAGTACAACCTGATTCAACTGCACGTAATGCTGAGTCATTTGGTGGCACTATTAAGCATTTAGCATTATATAAAAAAATAAATGGTTCATTATACACTAATGTAGCTGTAAGCAGATATTAGGATGTTTTTAAGTGTTTAATTATGTAAATATGTTCACATTTTATATTATTACAACTGTTTTACCATATTGTCATTTGTTTATCTGACCATTTATTGGTATGTATGGATGAACAGATTTATATTTAATTACATTCATGATATCATTTGTGTGCTCAGCAGACAAGTATTACTTGTTTTTATAAGAGGAAGGATGATATTAGTTTTAAGATGCAGAACAAAGGTTAAAACATACTCTGTATAGGTTCATTTTCTCCACACTTTGCACCACTTTTTACTAGATGATACAATTATATTGTAAACTATATTAGACCTTTTGTTAGAAAGCTTTAGTCAGGACTGATTTAGACCAATATGAGTAAATCTCAAAACCAACGAGTCCAGTCTGGGTCAATATCGGATTAGAAGCAATAGATTTTTCAGCATGTCACCCTGCAACATTGAACAAACCAGTCTCAGTACTATTAGTATTACTAAAGTACACAGGTGTTGTCTATTGTCATTTCAGACAATTAAAGTCAACATTTTCTCTCAGACTAAAACCAAAATATCAAAGAGATGATCAGCAGCAGCAGACATGGTATTTAAAAAAATAAATGTAGTGGATAAAGAGCGCCTCATATAGTGTTTGTTTATCTCAGTGTGTTCTTCATCTTCCTCCCCCTCACAGAGCGTCAGAGTTCCCTCGGTCATGCTCCATACGACGACCCCCAGAGCCACTACGACCTCCCCGTGAACAGCCACATCCCGGGACACTACGACCTGCCGCCCGTCCGCCGCCCCCCCTCCCCCAGGAGAACACCCCAGTGACAGTCACAGCAGCGGAGCAAGTCTCCCCCCTCCTCACTTTGGGGATGATTTCAGGCCTGTGCAAACTTTTTGGCTTTTTGACAATCAGAGCTGCAAACCAACCACAGACCAGCGCCGAGGCGTCTGTCCCACTGAGGAACTATTGTTTACTGTGGATGCCCCCCCCCCCCCACCCCACTTTCAACTCAACACTGCCCCTGTGTGGGCTAAAGTGGTACTTGCTTCACCATGACAGACTTGTCATCCAGACTGGGGAGCCAGCGGGCTGCGGTGAGGAAGGCAGGACTGTGGCGACGCCAGCGGGGCTTCAGCTGCATTCACATCCCGTGGGAAAAAAACACCCCAGAAGACTTCACGCTTAAAAAGCAGCAACTGGGGAGAAACTCGGCTAAACATGCTGTGATTGAAGTTCTACATTTAGCCTGCAACTTATCAGCTGGTGTGCATGTTAAAAAGGACCATTTTGTCTTTTTGTTTTTTTATGTAGATATTTTTAACTTTCTAAATCCTTTTTTTTTTTACTTTTTAAAACTCAAAGGAAAGAGAGACAAAGGTAATGGGACCTTTTTAGAGATGTCCTCCAACACATGCAAGTTTGTTTTGTACAGCAAAAATCCTGCCAGTCTTTGAAGACACCATAAAAAGAAAAATGTTTTATTTCTGATATTCAGGCTTTACTAATCTGGAGAAACCAGGTTGTTTCACCAAAGTGCGAGAAATGAAAAGTATATTTTATGATTCATATCACTTCATGTCTCCAACAATGATGTCCCCCGTTTGTTTGAACAAATGTGGCTTACTTGTCATATGAAAACTTTGTAAATATAGAAATGAATATATTATCTTCACAGTAATGTTAAAGAACAGCCTTATTTCAGAGATGTTTAAGGGGTTTGTGACCAAAGATCGCACCAATAGATATATAATTATGTTGTGAATATTAAACCATCACTTGTGAGATTATAAACCAAATGAAAGCAGCGTTATGAATGTCACAGCAACTTATGTCTGTTTGGTATTTAAAGGGCCGGTTCACCCAAAATACAAAAACAGTCACTTAAGTACTCCGACCGTAATCATTTTAAATTGTTTTTTGTCAACCAAAGTCTTGTGTTGCTTCTAAATAATTTTAGAAAAGCTATAATGCATTTTGTTTATCAAATGAAGTCAATTAAATAACAGAAACCATGTACCAGAAAGAATGTACATCGTGCTTTAAATGCGAGAGCTTATAGCGCTTCAGCTTTCTTTTATGTATGAACATGTATTTTTGAATGCAACCATGGGAACGTGTATAATGTAAATAAAAATGGCTGTACTTTTCATCCGTGGTTTTGAATGACAATGAGAAAATAACTACAAGTCAGTCAGTCACTGGAAAAAAAAGTTTTACTCAGTATTATTTTAGAAAAGCAAAAAAAAACAAAAAACATTCATTACATCGACTTAATGGCTCTTTCATAATGTTAACAGCATCAATGTGATAGACACAATCCTACAAGCAAATTACAACTTTGGCATCAAAGGCTCACTACAAGTAATCCCTCTCTAACAGTTTTAATCCTCAAGTCCTTCAAAAGATTCCTGAGGCCTCAATCAAGACTTTAAGAGGGAGGGTTCACGGCTTCACAAAGGCCTTTCAATCGAGTCTGCGATTTCAAACTGTCGGTTCTTCTTTAACTTGAACTAGCTTTGCTTCTTCAAAACTAACAAAACTTCTTCCTGTACAAAATGACTTGTTTTAGTGTTGCACTAAGAAGTTTCTTTCCGCTTTATAATGTGTCAGACAGGCCTCTGAAAAATGCTGACCACACCCTTTAAATGATCCGTTTCGAGTATTGACGATTCAGTTATTAGTTGCATATATTTCACAATTACATACAGTAATCATGTCTCATATTTACACTCATGAGAAATACTAAATCTTTTTCAATTATAAATCTTTATCTTTGGAGCTGGTCATTTCTTTAACAAACAATTGTTAGACTTTTTAAGGCACTTTGGGGATCATAGAGTCAAAATCAGACCTCTACTGAAGGCAAAAATAAAAGAATGTAATGTGGCACAAATACCATCATATAAGTACAATACAAAAAACATGAAAAGCTATCAAGTATTTTCTGTAAATGCTTTGCTATGCTTTTCACAAGAGTATAAATGACTTAAGCTGCCAGACTACAGTACAAATATACCTGCTGTGCATACTTGGCGAGGCCCACAATAAAAGCAGTGCATGAAGCCAAAGTTACAAAAATATAGAAACCCCACAATCCCACTCCGATCCCAAAATCATGCCTGGAGATTTGCAAAGTCAGTGAGCTTAAGAGGAAAGGAAAAAAAAGCCCTTATGACCAGTTTCCAGGAGCAACACAAATCGGACAGCTGACAGTCACAAGACTGAGCTACGAGCTACGAGCCAGAAGAACAGTGATTGTTGTTTTCCGTCTCTAAAGGCACAGTCGTTTGGTTTTTAGTCTGTGAAAAAGCTCGTTAAAATATTTCCAAAATCTGTTGCCATCTGTAAACAGCAGCAGCTCTCTGTTGAAATAATGTTCATTTGGTTGAATAAGCAGTAAAATCCTACAAATATATATTCTTTATGTATGGAACCAGTAGAGATTGAAAACACCACCTATTTCTGATGGTTCTCCAGGTAGAGGACACATCCTACCTGTTCCTATCATCATGACAACACTTTGGACTCACTCAATAAGCAACATGTTTAAATGTCACACTGAGATAAGCATTTATATCTTTTATAGCATTCGACTTATCCAGTAAACTACAATTATTTCTATACACGTTCATAACCAAATACATCTCTCTGGAGCCGAGCTGTGAATTACAGAAAAAAAAATATATCCATCTATATATTCTGTGTGCGCGCCATAGCAGCCCAAACATATGATCTAAATCCACATAAAAAAATGTACGACGACATGTTTGTCTGAGGCTAAAGGTGGAAAGAAACAATCTGCTTAACACCCTGAGCTTCAAGAACTTTGGTTCTCTTTTACAACATACTTTATCAAAACAAAAACTAACTTTTATGCATTTTCCCTGCAGCTTATAGCTAAATATTATTCCAAAAAACAACGATAATTAGATTGTAAACATCAACATCATCTTAAATAAAGATTTGATCAATTTGATGGATGATGAACATACGCCACAGAATTCAGTTCCCTGTCTGTATGGTTGTGGAGACGTATCCCCGACAGGGTTCACTAGCGGATCGAAGCACAAGTCAATGGAGCTGTGTGTGTGTGTGTGTGTGTGTGTGTGTGTGTGTGTGTGTGTGTGAGTGAGAGCGTGCAAGAAGAGCAGGACAAGCATTAGCACAGCACACATGCAATAACATAACTTGAATATAAAACTGAAAAAAAAGCTGAATATGAAAATCCCGTACCCTTTACCCAAAAAACCTCGAAGCAATTCCAACCTGCAGATTAATCTGAATACAAAAAAATAACATCATATAAAAAAAAATAAAGACAAACAACCCAAGAGAGGAACATTATCATTCTCCTTTGTAGGCTGCAGGAGGTGTAGGTTCAGGTGAGGTGAGGTCTGGTTTACATGACGGAGCAGTTCTCCGGCTTGGCACGGCCCTGAAGGAGGAAGGGACACATTGCAGCGTTAAATGTGGAGGAAACAGGAAAAAGGAGGAATATTAACAAGAAAAACAGATTTAATTTCAAAGCAGTCAAGAGATCTTCTATATGTCCCTTTGCACGGTTTGTTTGTCCTTCTAGTATTTAGAAATCAAATCAACGCAGAGGATGAAGGACGGAAAATGAAATATCAGATGGTGACTTCAAAGCCAATCAAAGCAAATAGGGAGGCGCCAAAGTTTACTGCAAGAATGATGGATATCATCCAAGAGTGCAAACAGAATGTCTGTGAGAGAGCCCTTAGACACTTTACTGTTTGACAGCAGGACAGCCTGAAAACCCTCACGGACTTTGCAAGAACGCATCCAAAGTCTGTGAGTCCATGAGTGTGGAGATTGGGATTGGGCCTATATCTCTGTGGACTCTGACAGCAACGCAGTAACAAAACTTGTCAGGTGTGTAGTGGAGATCAAAATACAAACTTCAAGGATGGGTGTGGTCCGAGCAAGGGCGTAGGAAGTGGTCATTTAAAAACATACTTTTCTCTTAAAATAAAGAACAGTGCTGTTGTGCTCCATGCGGTATAATTACCGTTTATGTTGTAACACATAACTGCACAGTACCTGTCTGGGCTCGTTGGTCCCCATGAAAAAGGATTGTCCCACGATGCCCTCAGGTAGACCCCCACCACCTGAGCGGTCCGACGTCTGCCCGCAGGAGTCGCAGATCACTGTGCGGCTGCGGAGGTTGTACTCGTTGTCTCCGCCACTCGTGCTGTGAGCTCCCTGAGGAGGGGGGGGTGGGCGACACACAACAGGGTACTTGACACCGCTGCTTACCTGGGAAATGCTACAGGAGTTGCCTTAAGAGAAGAGGTGCTTACCATGTCATCGTCTTCGTCATCATGGAACAGCGTGCGCGTCACTTTCCTCATGGCCATTTCCTGGTGGTTCATAAAGGGACACACTGATTCAGTAATTGCGGTTAAAAAGGAACAGAAATAAGAGGCAAGCTAAACCAAATAGAGGTGAAGCCAGACCTCTCCGTTGGCGTTGATGAGGGAGGTCTGCAGGAGGTCGCCGGTTCCCCAAGAGCTCTGGGTCTTCCACACCAGGTCAGAGGGAGAGTTGTGGGTTCCACCGCCGGAAGAAGCCCAGATCTGCAAAGGAGTTAGCAAACTTTTAATCATTTTAAAACTCCTCATGACATACTGTGAAGTCAAGACATTTAAATAAACACTAATTCTAATTTTGCTCCACAGCACTTCTAGTGGTCAAAAAAGAACAGTACCTTTATGTGGAGGGAGATAACAGTCAAATTAACAATTAAGAACAATTAACAATGAGAAGATCAAGAAATGAACAAATCTAGAAGAGTCGGTGTAACTTACAGTGACAGTTCCTCCGGCCTTCAGAGTGAACTTGTGGGGAAACTTGTAGAGGATGGGAGTGGTGTTTCCTACTTGTCTCTTCACCTGCCAGTTACCCAGAGACTGGTCCTGCATGACAGAAATGGGAAAAGAGAGAGATGGAGGAAGGGAGAAAACATTTAGTCTGGCTTGTAAATGTTTTTAAAGACTAAAAATGACAGCTATCCTTCTTAGAATATATACTCCAGCATTAAAAGTAATACCAGAAGGTTACTTTTAACCATACAAAGGATATTATATTATTATGAAAACCAGACAGTCGATATTACATCTTTTACAACCTGTGGAATCCCCTTAAACCAGGTTAAAGGGTTGAAAAGCCAGCTGACAGATGGACTCACTAACCTCATCAGCTTTGTTGCTGAGACGGATGAACTTGCCCTCCAGGTCGACCTCGTCCACTGTGATGCGGCCGCTGGCTGAGGCTTGCTGACTAATGCGAGTCTTGGTCACAGTGCCCCCCACCATGCTGGAGGTCTCGCTGTCGTCATTGAGGCGGCGCTTCTTGGTGGCGCTGGCTGTGCCGGAGGAGTTGCGGCTGCTGGAGGCAGTGCCGGTGCCGACGTGGAGCAGGCGGCTGGTGTGGCTGTGACCTGAGCCGGAGGAGTGGATGACGCGGCTGGTGTGGCCGTGGCCTGATCCGGAGGTCCTGGTCACTGTAACCTTGGCGGTAGGTGGAGGGCTGGGTGACAGACTCAGCCTGAGGAAAGAGAGAAGAAGAGATTCAGATGGTGGATTTAGACCTAAGCGGACACATGCAACAGAGTCTCACGGTCGGTAAAGTGCCTTTTGATATCTCTTCCTGCTCTGGCACTTGAACCCATACAGTAGCTACTGTAAGGCCATTCTTAGTTACTGTTGTCTGCCTGTGATTGCTTTCACTGAGCCTGTTCACGGTCAGTTTACTGGGATATTAAGTGTCTGTTACTTTTATTGTGTCTGTATTTTTGTGCACTTATCCTGTTAAACAAATAGGTTTAATACATAAAAATGAAGTGGGACAAACTTGAGAAATGCTGCTCAGGTGGGGCTGCAGTAGAGAAAAAGATGATTATTTATATTTTTAAACTGTTTACTAAGCTCATCTGTGCCTGATTGGCAAAGTCAGTATTGAACAGTGACTTTACAGTTTGTTTTCTGACTTGTTAGTGTTCATCTGTTCCTGTAACAACCTGTAGACCTCCTGTTGCCTCACCTCTCCTCCTCTCCCTCCAGCAGCTTCCTGTAGGCATTGATCTCCATGTCCAGGGCCAGTTTGATGTCCAGCAGCTCCTGGTACTCGTCCAGCTGCTGCAGCAGCCGAGCTCGGATATCGGCCATCTCCCGCTCTTTATCCTCCAGCCGCCGCCGCATCAGGTCCCGCTCCCTGGACATAGCCTCCTCCAGCTCCCGCACCTTGGACTCGCTCGCTGCCAGCTGGTTAAAGAGAACACGCGTACAAAGGTTAGTCAATTAAGACCAGTTCAGCAGTCTGTACACAACTTGTTACAGTATAAACACTGCAAGTATGCTTAATCAATGATGCTCAGCCAAGCAGCATGACCAGTAACACCAGCAGACTGATAACAAACCACTGACATACTTTGAGTGTGTGTGTGTGTGTACCTGTTTCTGCAGCAGGCTGAGCTGGCTTGACATGCCCTCCATTCGCATACGGCTCTGCTGCAGCTCTTCATGAGCGGCTCCCACCATGTGGCTGTTCCTGTCAGCTGAATGACGAGCGTTCTCCAGCTGACAGACAGAGAGAAGACGCAGTCTTTCAGCCACGGCTCAAACAAATGTAATCCTCACGTATAAATCTACATTTAACCAATCCTACGCATTTAGGGGCAGGGGGCTGCTATTAAGCGCCTGGGGGGGGGGGGGGTTCAGTGCAGCCCCACTTCCTGCACTGAACCGAAGTCTGAGCCGTTTGGTTTACTGTATTTCAGGAGACTGTCATCTAAGGAATGAAATATTTTTGCTCTTTTGTAGAAGAAACACCACAAATAAATACCTCTTTAGCCTCTTGCAATACATTCTGTTGAGTTAGCTAATATAGAAATACCCAAAATATTTTCTAAAGGGGTCTAGTAAAACAAAGCAAAACTAAATTTCAATGACAAACAACTTATGTTGTGTTTATACACTGATTATGGCTGTTAAATGAATCCCTTCCTGTATGAAGATAAAAGGCAAGAGGCAAAGGGAATAAGGATTTTACACACCAAGTGTAAAAAGGGTTTAATCAATAAGCATTCCCTGAGCTGTGGATGTTGGACTATTCGTAGCTCATTAAAGCCATTTAAAAATGCAAAACATCCACACACAAAGCTGAACTACGACTTAAGACAGCTGCATAACAGCCTCTACCTCGACTCTAGGTGGCGACAGAGCTGCGTCTGCTGCAGAGCATCCGGACGTACCTTAGAGTTGTAGGTCTTCTCCACCTCTTCCTTGTAGAGGCGGACCTGCTCCTCCTGTTGGACTCTCATGTCGACCAAGGCGGCGGCCAGCTTGCTCTCAAAGTCCAGCCGCTGCCCGCCGTCCACCTCCACGCGAGACTCATAGCGGCGCCTGGACTCACGCTGCTCCTACAGACAGACAGGTTGGCGGTGGACATCAGTCTCAAGAGCACTTACTTTTAGTTTCTCGTGACTAATCAATCAGACTAGGAGTTGTGTTGATTAGAACCTGATCTGACTTTCTCAACTCCTTATTATACTGGAAAAAAAGAGTAATTTGCATTGACATTTTGGTTTATTTTCAGGCACTATAAACAAATTAAAAGACCTGCAGAAACCCGTTATGGTCAATGAACTTAATTGCATCGATTAGTCGCTTTGCCGTATTTACTTGTTTACAAGTACAGAGCTCCAGCTGAGAAATCTATCTCCATGGTGACCTGTAAGAAACTCCTAATCATTATGTTTAAATTAGTAAAAGACAACTCTGTTGCCAGTTTTGGTCAGAACATGACGACGACCAGAGCATTGTGGAAAGTGACTTACTTGTGGCAAGAATATAAATCTAAGCATTTAAACACAATTTGTATATTTTTTGTTTTAGAATAAAATAAAGGAGAGGTGAAAGAAGAGACACATCTGAAGGGGAAATGCAAAACTAACAGGCAGGATGTTGGAAGCGAATCAATATCCTGTGGAAGAGATGAAAAGTAGCACAGATGACTTAAGACAGCCGAATAAAAATAGAAGGGTTCAGGTGAAGAGTGGGAACCTCGTGGTAGATGTTCTTCTGGAACTCCAGCTCCTCCTTCATGGTCTGCAGGCGGTTCTCGGCGTCCACTCTCCTCAGCATCTCATCCTGCAGCTGCCTCTTGGCATCGGCTAAGCTTCCTTCCAACTGGGAGGGAGGAGGAAAGAGAAAGGTTCTTTAGTGGAGGCACGCAAGTGAAAAAGAACAAAAAAAAAAAAAAAAAAGAAGTCAAACCCAGCTCAAGGTGCAATCTGGGCAGACATTGTTTACGTTCCCGAGTGTGGCCAGTAGGTGGAGCAGGGCCACAACTGTATCTCCATCAGTCCTTAAGTAAACTTCATTGATAAAACAAACAGCAGAGAAAGCAACCTTGTCTGCCTCGCCACCTCATTCATAATCAACTGCCTGGAGGGTTTACATAAAGTTACTACTTCAGCAGCTTAATTTCAGATGTCAGTCACTGCAGCTTAGCACTCAACTACTGACTGCTTTTTTGGCAGCAAACAAGGATTCAAATTATTATTATTTTTTTTTAACCTCTATTACAATCAATGCAGGAGAAAACAGGTTTTCTGCTTACAGTTCAGAGTGATGTGTAATGGGGAAGACGTCCTCAACAAGCTGAAATCATCCTGATATTATGCTGGCTGTGCCACAGCAGTACAAATAAACGTGCGTTTGTCATTTTTCAAAGCTTTTTGAATAGGTTTGTATTCGCTCTGAGCCATGAAACGTGCATGTCTTGCCAACAACAACCACGTAAGACTCCAGTTCCAATAAAGACGTTTTTACCTTGGCCAGCTGGGCCTTGAGGTCCTTCAACTCAGCCTCCAGGGTCTGCTTCTCGCCCATGGCAGTGGAGAGGGAAGCATCTTTAGAGTTCAGTAGGGCCTCCAGGTCCCTCAGCCTGGCCAGAGCCGCCTCCAGGTCAGACTCCTTCTTACCGTTCCTGTAAAGACACGAGACAGACAAGGTGTGCACGTCAGTCTGTTGTCCCTTCAATACTGTACATCATGGCGTCTTCAGAGATATGAAACTCTTCTCATGTTGCTATAAAAACACACACACAAGCCTTCCGTTATAGCTGATAAACGCTGCTAAGAGGCATTAAAACCTAAGATTACCCACCTCTCACTCTATGGTGTTTTTAAATGTCATTCTAATCATGTCTTTGCTTTATGTTAATCGCTTTGAACTGCTTCGGTGTTTGAGAGATGCTGTACAAATAAATCTGGCTGATTCCACATGTGATTAATGCACTAAAAGTAGTTTTCTGTGAAAGGTTTACCTGATATAGTTTATTCTTATCCCCCAGTAAATTGTTGGTAACCGTGTCATGACATTAGGTGTCTGGTCTGCTGAGCTAATATTAATACTGATGAGAGCATGTTCCTTTATTTCTACTTAAAGGGTAACTTGATAGGCACTGGACAACTGGGCTGCAGCGACACAAACCACCATTGTACGGTGCAGAGAGCGCAGCAGTTGTCCCCTGCGTCACATCAACGTGCTGTTGTTAGCCTTCTGTGCTAAATAGGAGCCCATTAAAGTCTCTCTCGAGGGAACCAGCGTTGAATCAAGAGAATTCACGTTTGTTGCGCATGTGAGCACCGCCTCTCCTCTAACATTTAGACCAATTTAGAGTTCTGGGTTGGAAAGAAAAAAAACTTGGAAACAGCCATGGAAAAACAATACATACGCAGGAAGAGAGAGAGCAGAGGGGAGGGAGCGAGGTTGTTAGCAGTATAGGCGGTTCATGCAGAGTCAAGAAGGAAATGAGCTCCCTGTTATTCCATTTGGCCCTGTCGGCTAGTCTTCATTGTCACTAATAATGGCCATCTGCTGGGGGAAATGGCTTCCAGGCTGCTCACACAGACCTCAGAGTCCTCCAGTCTCTGGCAGCCGAGTGTTAGGACAGCCAGGGACGAGCAACACGCACACTTTACAAACAAAGTTACTCCACATCAGAATAATGACTTACGACGGAGATCGAGTCCCTTCACAAGCCTCAGAAGTGAAAAGGTAGTTTATGGGTTTATGATACTGAAATTAATCTCCATTACTGCATTCAATAAACAATAAGAAGAAGTGCTTTAGAGGAGCTTAAAAATGCAGTTGTGCTTCCTGAAAAGAAGATAAAGTGGCAGGAAAGCAGAACTAGACTGTGGTTGAATAAGTCTTTCATGTCCAACAAAAAAAAAGAGAACATATCCGTGATGCTTTACAGATGTATGAATGGGTAATTACATAAAAGCCTCTGAGACTGCTCATTGTTCAAAAAGAAGAAGCACAGTGGGTTGAGTGGGTCCGAATCAAATGTATATGTACACACACACATGCAGTCCAGTATGTGATATCTACACATTCTCTAAATGTTACACTGGATTACAAACAGTCAGTTGCCAGTTTATTAGATACAACAATACTTTCATGAAGGTTATAATGTTTGCTTTGTTTTTAAACTGTTTTAAGAGGTGTTGGTGATGTTGGAAGCTGTAGTCTGTGGTGCTGTTGACTTGAGTTACACTGAGAAGTGTTTCTTTAAGTGTAAGTATTGAGTTTACCCTCATCGTATGATACTGAAGTCGTTTTGCTAGCTGTACCTAATAAACTAGCAACTTAAGTCTATATATTCTACAGAAACTCAATGATCTTTTCCAGAGCCCTTAACCAAGTTTAAATTAACAGATGTTCATACATTACTTTTTTTCCACAAGAATACACCAATTCATATTAATAAATGTCTTCTCTAGTAGTTAAAATACAGTCCTCTACCATTTAACAGCTGGTTGTACAAGTTGTTTTGTTGAAACAGAACTTTTTGGAGAATGCAGTTCAAGGTGCTGTTGAGTTGTACTCTTATTTTGTCTACCAGATTCATATCCATGATGGTAGGCTAAATAACACGTTTATTTACTGAACATACAAACTGAAGTAAATCACAGAGCTAGGGAGGTTTTTTTTCTAGTCAACATACTCGTAAAGAGACTCAAGAGAAATGGGCATTACTTGAGACTCTGTAGACGAAACATTTTACCAGTGACTGCCGTGTGTGTGGCGGTGGCTGCTGTGCTGCTCATTAGTAATAATGGGCCCAGTGGATCAGCTCCAGCAGGGAATCAATGCACAGAAGTGGGTTTGATGTATTGAAAGGCTGCTGGACTGTTTGTATTCTCTTTATCCACAAACATGACGGCAATACAGAGAGGCTTCCAGAAACTTGGCATGAATGGTAACCAGAACATCCGGTTCTGAAAAGTGAAACCAATGTGGAAGGGCCTTAAACTTGTATTCCGTCTACTGGCCACCAGGGGGCGACTCCTCTGGTTGCAAAAAGAAGTCGGATTGTATAGAAGTCTGAGAAAATTACCTTAGTTCTTACTTGATTTATCACCTCAGTAAACATTGTAAACATGAGTTTATGGTCTGAATCACTAGTTTAAAGTCTTCAATACAGCATGATGTTTATTTAGTAAATTATGGTCCATTTAGAGGCAAATAGACGATAAAGGAGGAGATGCTTTAGGGTGGGGCTACCTTATGATTGACAGCTCGCTGCCACGGCGTTATGCGGTCTGGGAGTTCATGTTTTTGTCTTAGAACTTGAACCCTTTCACGGTGCACTCTCACTTCATGAAAGTTAATTGTAACATTTTTGTCGCGCAACAATGTCTCATTGAGCATCCAGTTGCTAACGTTTGCTAATTAGCCCTAAACACAAAGTACAGCAGCGGCAGATGTGAATGCCATTACTTTTGCAGATATTTGGTCATGAACTTAAGTATTAAACAAATTAAAATTGACCTGATGATGGCACTAAATGAAAACCTTCCTGATGGACATGAATATCTGAACCAAGTTTCACGGCAATCCCTCCAATAGTTTAGAAACATTTCACTCTGGACCTCTTGTGGTGCTCGAGGAAAAGTCACATGATCACCCGAGTCATGAGACTTCTTCCTCAGACTGACCAACATATATTGCCATCCAGCCGCGCTGCTAGCACGCTAACAAATGTCAAAGAAAATCCCTTTATGTACAGCAGGAGGTCCAGTAAAATGAGACATTGTGGTTCTGTTGTGTACAGAGGCTAATATATTGTGACCTCTGACCTTTATGTGGAAAATGGATGAAAGATAATTCTCTGGGTACCCGTGTACTTATTAGTATTACTGTTATTAGAGCAACTCTTTATACTGTGTCTCATATGTTCATATTTGGGTAGTGTACTTCTGGTCCGATTCCCAAATCAGGACGAGTGGTGTGAGGTTCTGCAAAAAAATAGAAACGATCAGCTGGCCAGCCTGTAAACACTGCAGCTATCGAGCCCAAATTTGGTCACAGAGATGGAAGAGGCCAGCATGAGTCAACGTATGGACACACAGAACAGTTCAACTCTGTAAATTAATATCACAGGAAGCCCGGCATTTTATTTTTCTCAAAAAGAGTAACCGCAGTTTGGAATCAACTGACCACCAAAGCACAACATAAATGTTCTGACCAAACAAAAAGGGACATTAAGGGATTGTAAAATCTCTGGATTTAATACAGATTAAGGGTGAATATGGGTTATGACAACGACCACAGGCTTCAGTTTAAAGTATGCAACACAGAGTGTTATGATGGTCTGCACTGTATTAAACATGTTGTCTTTGCTTCTTACACCTCCAGGATGCTGCTCCTGCATGTCGGCTTAAAATCCGAATGCAATGGAAGGATGTTGGAAAGCCTCGTCAGTGTGTGTGTTTGTATTTATCTTAAGCGTATATGTGGGCGTATTTGTGCATGTTTGAGTCGGTTCTGTACCGTGTGGGAGTGTTGGCTGCAAAAACGGTGTGTACCACCTTGTGCGTTAAGTACATCTGTGTACTGTATGTATGCGTGTCCATACAGTACATGTACGTTCCTGTGCACGTGTTATTCTCATATGCGATTTACATAATCCAGTGCAGGGTATGTGCGAGAGGCATTTGTTTTGGACTACCCGTTTATATAATCCAGTATGAAGTGTGTAATTAGAGCATACATATCCTCTGACTTCATGTTTATATTGTGTTCCATCAAAGCCTCACAGCCTGCGCTCAGAACACATGTGAGGAGTGTCTGCAGTTATTTACTAAAAAAAAAAAAAACTAAAAAAAAAAAAAAACACACACCACACTTAATATTTACAAAACAATACACAGTCAGCATGAGACTAACAAGTGTGTTACTGAGAATGGCTGCGAGCTAACAGATGAGCAAACAAATGCAGATTACATTTGGGAAACTAGGAAAATAAAGCCCAAAAAAATAAATAAATACCAGCCTGTTTCATCAAGATAAGGGAAATGTGTTGCAAGTAAAACAAGGCGGGCGGCAGAGTCGTTTCTAAGCTTGGACACTGAGAAAGACCTTTGAGCCGAAAGGGCACCGCTGTGCGATTTACATTCTGCTCTGAAAGTAGGAATTCAAAACAGAAAAGTGTCATTTTGGCAAGCTTTATTTTCTATTTTTTTAAGTGTAGACCACTTGTCTTCTTTCCTCCCACACACGTCTGCACTCGTGAAAACAAATGTATACATTACTGAAAAATAATTACGGTTTCACACATCAGTCCACCCTTTTTACGCAACAACATTAGAGCCTTGAAAGGCATTTTGTTACAAATAGATTAAATGACACATTTTGAGGCACAAAGACAAAATGGGAGCCATTGGACGGAGACAGTGTGAGATGGGGGGGAGAGGAGAGGCTGGTGGGTGGGTGGGTGGGGGGGGGGTGTGAAATGGAAACGCGAGAAAGAAAGAGGCAAAAAGAAAAAGAAAAAGGGGGAATAATGGAGACGAGAAATCTGAGGAGGAGGAATGTGTTGGCTCGGCTTCCGGCCTCAAGGATGACTCACAGCTATCTTTGTCCACCCCGGTAAGGAGGAACGAACCCCGCCTCGTGGAGTGAAAGAGAGAAAGA